TCACACCCCAAGGTGCTCATTCCCTAGGTGACTTAGACTGAAGTCCCCTCCCCAGGATGCGTCGCCCCAGTCTGCGTCCCCGAGAGGGGCCTCCCCGGGCTAGAGCAGGGATGGGAACTTGGGCTGTGGGAACACCAGCTCCTCCCTGCCTGGCGCTCTTTGTCTCTTTTGAGGCACCACTTTCTGGAGAGTCACTTCCCCGTCCTTGGTCTGCCTCCAGCCACTGCCCCTCTGTGCAGCAGCCCCAGGAGGTCTTATAACATGCATTGGATCTCAGCACTCCCTGCCCAAGCTCTGCTCACTCCACTGCGGCCCTAATGGGCCCCCCAGGGCCTTTGCACATGCTGTTCCCTCAGCTGGGAACGGTCTTACCCCATATCTTCCCATGCTGCCTCTTTCTAGTCATTATGCCTCAGAAGAGGTGCCCACCTCTGCCCACCCTGAACCAAGTGTGGTACCCGCTAAAATGTGAGCTTCCCAGGGCAGGTACCTTATCTGCGTCCCATGGTTTTTATGTCTGACTTATAGTAGGTGCTCAGTAAACACGTTGAAGAAACAGGGGCAGCTGCCATGTGATGGGAGGGAGCAAGATGTGTCCAGGATGAGGGGCCCGACAGATAACTCGATTTCCCCTTCTGTAAAATGGCACCAGGAGAGCCTAGAGTGGAGAAGGGGTTGGGTGGGGAGCCCAGGGACGGGACTGAGCCCCTCAGGCAGCTCTTGAGGCTGAAAGCACGAGGTCCAAGTAGGCTGGCCAAGCCCGCGGGCTGAAGGAGGAAAAGACGGACCCAGGAGCCACCTGTGCGAACAACCCACACACCCGGATACCCAGGCCGCGCACCCCTCCCACCTAGACACACACAGACACCCAGACATGACAAGTCCCACACACACAGCCCACCTGAGAGGCAGGGACGCACACACACAGAGACGTCCACGTGCAAGCCTGCACCACACACACCCTGTGCCGATGAGCACACCCCCTGACCACACAAGACCCACAGCACAGCTACGCCAGCACCCCCCACCACCCCGACACAAGTCCGCACGGATGGAAGGGTGCGGAACCACAGCTCCCAGGGCTCTTCTCCGTCTAGAAAGTCCCCCTCTCCTCCTCAAGGCAGGCCTCGGGGGGGGGGGGGGGGGCTCTGTCCCAGGGTTCTGAGGACAGGGGATGGGTGGCAGCCACCAGGGAAGAAGTAACCGTGTCACTCCCTCATCTGGGTCCCCACTGATCAGTGAGAGGACCTTCCTGGGTGCCCAGGGCACAAGAACCACCCGCCTCCTGCCGCTTTCCTTTCCTTGCCCAAGTAGGGAACGGGGCTTGGGGTGCACCCCACCTCACACTCTTCCAGCCCCCAGCTCACCACAGCCTGGGCGGAAGAGGCGGCAGGGAAGTGGCACAGCTGGAAAGTCAGCCCAGAGAGGTTAGGGGGTGCCCCAGTTTGACCCAGCAAGTCCCCGCCCAGGGCTGCAGGCTCCCCACCACCCAACAGATGGAGTCAGGGGGAGCTCCAGGGAAAGCCCCACCCCACACTTGCACAAGAATGACAGTTAGAACTCATTCCTCCAGATTCCTTTCTTGTCACCTCATCACCTCCGAGCCCTTCTGGGAAGAGAGGCTGGGCAGGAAACAGATGGGGGGAGTCCCACTGCCTTTTTCCTTTAAGCAGCCCCAGCTGCAAAGCCTTATTGCTCAAGAAGATAGCATAGCCCAGAGAGGGGGAGTGAGATGCCCAGGGTCACACAGCGGGGGGGGAGGACCTCAGTGGAGGCAGGGGGTGGGGCTCCCTGGACCCTCAGCTGCCAAAACTCCAGGCTCATATGTTCCTAGGATGGCCTGCCTCCCACCTTGGCTTTTATGACTCTGCTTATTTAATGTATTATTGTCTTGCTTACTAATATTACTAATTGCTAACTCATTGCAAGCTTTCAATATGCCAGGCACAGAGCTAAGGACTTCACACAGATTTCTTTCATTCGTTCATTTTTCCTGCAACAAATCTCGATTAAGCATCTACTGTGTCCCAGGCACTGTGGTAGGCTCTCGGGGAGACACATGTGAACAAAACTGATAAGATCTGGGCTCTCACAGAGCTGACATTTTAGGAGCAAAACACAATAATCAAGTAAACTAATACACGAACCTGTTAATTCCAGACAGAGGTAACTGTCGTCAAAATCGAACCATGTTGGGGCGCCTGGGTGGCTCAGTCAGTTGAACATCCGACTTCGGCTCAGGTCATGATCTCACGGTTCATGAGTTGGAGCCCCGCGTCGGGCTCTGGGCTGACGGCTCAGAGCCTGGAGCCTGCTTCACATTCTGTGTCTCCCTCTCTCTCTGACCCTCCCCCGTCCATGCTCTCTCTCTGTCTCAAAAGTAAATAAACGTTAAAAAAACATTTTTTTAAATAAAAATAAAAAATAAAATAAAAAGTAACTGATTAAAATAAATAAATAAAAGTTGAACCAGGTGGTTATGGTAGAGGGTGGCTGGGTGCTGTGGCAGGGGTCCACAGCAGCCTTCCATGAGGAACGGCTTGTGAACTGAGAGTTTGATGATGTTGATGAGCCACGGGGTAGCTCATGGGAAGAGCATTGGGGGGTGGGGGTGGGGGGGGCAGGAAGGGCAAGCACAAATGCCCCGGGGCAGGATGGAACAGAACAGAAAGTAGGCATGCGCCAAGGATCAGCCAACAAGGTAAAACTGTCTCATGAAATTTCCCGAACTCTCTTGGCAGCAAGGGTTATCATCACACCCACTTTGCAGAGAGGTGCAGATGCCTGCCCGGGGTCACACAGCAGCGAGTGACAGAGCCCACACTTTAACCACTTCCTCCTCTATGGCAGGCCTCGTTTTGGAGATGCGAAGTTTGGAACCAAACAACACCAGTTGTCCGAGAGCCCTGAGTCTAGTGCAGAAGTGATCCCCACAGAGAGGTTCCCGAGGAGCCCAGCCAGGCCTCCGGGCTCCCCTGTGGGACCCTGTGTATCCGTGCCAGAGACTGGGGTCTATGCCAGCTCCACCACAGCCTTCTGTGTGGCCTCGGCTGGCCTCGGGCCCTCTCTCATGCTCGTCTCTCCTTCCAGCCTGGTCTGGACAGGAGCCCGCGCGGCACCAGAGCAGCCTCGGGGGCACCCCACAAGCCCCAAATCCTGGCCCCGGAGATCCAGAGGGAGGAAGCCAGGCTGACTCGTGCAACCTGGTGCTGCCCCCTGGTGGCGGTAGCCGCAATGCTCCCCGCCCCCCCCCCCCAGCACTGCCCCTCAGCTGCCTCGCTGATTGACCCTCAAGAGGGCCCCAGCCCGGATCCCAACCCTGCGTGAGGGGCACCGCCAGCCTCAAAATTCCCAGAGAAGGAGGCTGTCCCCAACCCCATCCGGAGATGTGTAACCTCAACTCTATACACAGACTCTGTTTCTTGGGGCGGAATATCCAGGGGATTTTAAGTCACGCGGGGTGGGCTGGGTGACTAGAGCGCACAGCTCGTTCATTCATTCGTTCATTCGTTCATTCATTTGCACATTCAACCTATATTAATTGAGCACCTTCTGCGTGCCGGGTGCTGGGGGATGCAGCAAACATCAAGTCTCAGACGCCAATACATACAGGGGTGTGGACAGGCTCCGGGACGTGCCCCGGAGCACAGGAGAGCTGACGGTGGGCTGTCACCAAGTGGAGGCAAAGGAGACCAGGCCCCTGGGCAGGTGGCCCAGGAACTGGAGGTTTCAAGAATCTCGGGTCACGATCTCACCATTTGTGAGTCTGAGCCCCACGTCTGGCTCTGTGCTGACAGTTCAGAGCCTGGGACCTGCTTTGGATTCTGTGTCCCCGTCTCGCTCTGCCCCTCCCCCGCTTGCGCTCTGTCTCTCTCTCTCTCTCAAAAATAAACATAAAATAAAATAAAATAAAATAAAATAAAATAGAAAATACAGTAAAATAAAGTAGAATAAAGTAGTTGGAGTTCTTTTACAGTCTGGATACCTGTACTGCAAATACTGTCTTCCTGCCTGTGGCTAAGCATTTTTTCTTCCCCTTTGGAAGAGCCGGTGCTTTGATGAAGCGGGTCTTTCAAGTTTTCCCTTTATGGCTTGTGCTCTGTGTCCCTTGGAAGAAGTCTTGATATATAGTCACATTTGTTTGTTTTCCGTTGCTTTCCGTTTTTCGGTGTTGCTTTTTTCTTTTGCATGTGCTTCCTTTTACACTAGCAACAATAATGATATGGTTCCAAAGTCAAACCTATAAAGCAAGGCTTATTTAAAGAGAAAGTGCTTCCACCCCATCTCCCTCAATAACAACCTTTAGTTTTTAAAAAAATTGTTCTGGGGCACCTGGGTGGCTCAGTCCGTTAAGAGTCCAACTTTGGCTCAGGTCATGATCTCGCAGTTCATGAGTTCGAGCCCCGCGTCGGGCTCTGTGCTGACAGCTGGGAGCCTGGAGCCTGCTTCAGATTCTGCGTCTCCTCTCTCTGCCCTTCCCCCACTAGCTCTGTCTCTGTCTCTCAAAAATAAACATTAAACAAACAAACAAAAAGAATCGGGGTGCCTGCATGGCTCAGTTGGTTAAGTGTCCAACTTTGGCACAGGTCACGAACTCGTGGTTTGTATGTTTGAACCCCGCGTCGGGCCGTGTGCTGACAGCTCAGAGCCTGGAGCCTGCTTCACATTCTGTGTCTCCTTCTGTCTCTGCCCCTCCTCTGCTCACACTCTGTCTCTTATTCTCTCAAAAATAAATAAACATTAAGAAACATTTTTTTCAAAGAATTTAAAAAATTGCTCCTTCACTTCATCTTGGAAATTATATACATCCTTTCCCATTTCTTTTTTTTTAATGTTTATTTATTTTTGAGAAAGAGAGCACGAGCAGGGGAGGGGCAGAGAGAGAGGGAGACACAGAATCCGAAGCGGGCTCCAGGCTCTGAGCTGTCAGCACAGAGCCCGACGCGGGGCTTGACCTCAACAATTGGGATATCGTGACCTGAGCCGAAGTCGGACGCTTAACGGACTGAGCCACCAGGTGCAGCCCAGCCTAGATTCATATTTTTAAGGCTCCAGATTGGTCCCCACACCCCTGCCCTCAAGAACCCAGGGCTGGTTTCGGCTCAACCCGAGAAGGACAGTGGGAGAAGGGTTGCCTCCAAAGGATCCTCAGGCTGGGCCACAGGAGGACCCCCCTCCTCCTGCAGGGAGGGCACACGGAGCCCACGCCTCTGGCCCCTGTGAGGATGCACATCACAATGGCTGTTCCACCTGAGCCAGGCCCTGGGAGAGGCACCAGGCAGGCAGGTACTCTGGCCCAAGGGCACCCAGGCCTCGCCATGGGGACTCCAGATATGCGCTCCGCTGCTCAGAGCTTGGAACCTGCCGCTGCTGGGATACCGTTGCTGGAACAAAACACGTCCAGGACACCAAGATGGAACCATCCCCAGGGTGAGAGGTCCCCCCCCGCCGCCATCCCGGTGACCAGTTGACTTTGGCGCCCATGGGAAGCAGGAGAGGAGACTGGGGGTCCCCTTGCCTAGTTGGGGGCTGAATCCAGTACTCCACCATCACGTCCTGCTGTCCCCCACCAACTCGGGGACCGTGTGACCCAATGGGGACAAATCGGGGCCTCCCGACATCCTGTGCCCTCTCTTAAAGTGTTAAAAAGAATCCAAGAAAGAAGCCGAATGACTCTCTGGTATCAGGTGCGGCCTGTCCCTCCCATCCCCTGCCCCACCCCCGTGGCCGGACACAACCCAGACTGGATGGGGCGGCAGGGTGGGGGGGTCCCGGCTCTGCTGATGAGGTTTGGGCCAAGTCACCAATCTCTCTGGATCCGTTTTCCGTCTGGAAAACGGCTGAGAGGATTAAGGGATGGTCAGTGTAGGGCTGACGGCTGCTAACTCGGCTGGGTCGGGTGAGTGTCAACCAGGCAGCAGGCAGCCCCAGGCCGCATACTTCTTTTCTGGCCTTGAGTTTCCTCACCTGTAAAATGGGTACTAAGACCAGCCTCTGGTGGGACACCTGGGGGCACCGGATGGGTATGAAATCTCTTCCTGTTCCCAAGAGTCTAGACTTGAGGGCAAAAGACGGAGAGCGGCTTCCTCTTTCCTGGCCACCCCCATTGTGGGAAGAGGCGCGGGGTGGGGGTGGGGGATCCCAGGCAGCTCCGATTATGCCACGAGGCCCCTCACCTGGGAGGGGCAGGTCCCCATGGTTCCCCATAGAGACACATGTGGACCCCCATCCGTTGACCACACAGTCATTACGATTATGGGGCTCTCATCCGCCCACCTCCCGGACCACACACTGGGTTTCCAGATCCCAGAATTCTCTGTCCAGACAGCCTTGCACCTGACTCCAGGGCTGGCATAGGGCTCACCACTGGGAGCTGGGGGGGTGGGGGGGGGGGGGGGCAAGCTGCACGTGCACACGGCGTGACAGTCCCCTTGTGGGGCAGGAGGGAAGGAAGGCTGGGAGGAATGCGAGGGGGCTGTGGCCCCAACTGTCCTTCTGGGATGGAGCAAATGAAACGCTGCCACTCTTGGAGCCTTGGAACTCCTTCCTCCTTGGGAGGTGGGCACCCTCAATTCACATACCTGCTTGCTGGGGGACCTCAGGCAAGCTGGTTAACCTCTCTGAGCCTAGTGTCCACATCTGCAAAATTGGAGTAATACCACACGGTTGCCTCCCTGGTGTTTTCACTAGAATCCATGGAGCCAGGTGTGTAAAACGTCTGACACACAGTTTGACACGTAAACAACAAATGCTCGATGTTTTGTTTCTTTTGAAGACATCATGGGCCCCGTGCCCTTTTTACGTCCTGTTTCCTGGTACTGCCTCCCGGAAGATCTTTCATTCTAGGACATGAGGACACAATTGGGGTCCGAAATGTCTGTGTTCAAACCTCAGCTGCTCCATCTACGCTATGCAAGCCTTGGCATTCGTTCCTCCAGGCCTCGGCTTTCCCTCCTGTAAAATGGGCGATACCCTCAGGCTGGCAGGCTGGCCACCTTGTCGGCTCGGCACCTGGCTAGTGGCGGGACTTTGGGTCTGAGGCTGTGTTTCCTTCCTCTCTCCCGAAGAGCCTCCTCGTCCTCGTCCCCCTCCTCCTCCTGGTCCTTGGCCTCCAAGAGTTCAAGGGCCTCCTCCAATATATGTCCAAGGCCCCCGGCCATTCACCCGGGTGAGTACCTCTGTTCCTTCCCCTTCGGTTTTCCTGGGCTCAGGCTGCCCTGCCCCACTCTTCGAGATTCTGCCCCAACAGCACCTCCTCTGAAAGTCCTTCTCCGCTGCCCCCCGGGAGCCGTGTGACCCCCCCCCAGGGCTGGCCGCAGCCCCTCCTCTCCAACATGAAATGAGTGGCGCAGGGGCTGGTCTGCAGTGGGCGCTCAGGGCAGGCTTATGGGGCCAACCCCCTGGACGCCGCAGTGCGAGCCACCGGCCGCAGCCAGAGAAGCGGAAGGTGGCCCCTGCCCAGGGTAGGGCCTGGGCTTCAGGGGGGTTTTACACAAGCCCGTTAAGGAATGCAGAATACTCGAGAAAGGTCTCAAAGGGTCAGGAGCTGCAGGGTTGTTCTGCACATTCCCAGTGGGCAGAATGGAAAGGCCCGTAGGGACACCCATTCTAGCCACAGCGCTTTCCTTAGCTCTGTGCCAAACCGGGGATTCTGCATCCCGCACATCGGGGCTCCGCCCATTCCAAATCCCAGCACCCCTCAACCCACCCGGGACCCCAGAGGGATCAAGGTCTGCGAGGCCCTAAGCCCCTCCTCACCGCTGCAGACCAGACCCTGAGCCTTTGGCCAGGACACTAAAGCTCGCGGGAATTGTTTCCTTAACCACAAACTCAGCCACCACCCAAGCCCCCCTTTCTCCGCACACCCAAGACTGCGGACGTGGTTGCAGGGCTTAAATAGCTAAACACGTTTTTTGGCCCCGCTGTACAAACGCGAGAGGATGACACAAGAACGCCAGCAGGTAGATTCACCAGGGCATCAAAGCTTTTGACTGAGAGCATCCAACAGACGCCCCTTAAAGGGGCTGGATGAGTATGCTATCCTGGGTAGCTCGCTGAGCTGAAGGGGCCCAGTTTAAACCTAGAGATGCTTCCAAATTCCCTGGGTCTCTCCTGACCAGCGAGAGGCCCCTGAGCCCTGCAGGCCAGCAGGAGCAGGGGTGGGGGAAACGGGGTAGGGAGAGGGAGCTGGAGCCCACCCTGGGGTCTTGGGCGTGCAGGGGAGCACGGAGAGGCTGCAGGAGTGCCAGGAGAGGGCCACGGTCTGAGCTGCGCCGCGCCCCCCGCCCCCCCTCCCCGTCCCCAGCTCTGTTCACCAGAATGCCTAGGATGGGCCCTGCCATCCCGGTACAGTCCATATGTCACTACTGTGGGAACCGCATCGTAACAGTGACCACCCCGGCCCCAGGGGTTCTCACCTGGCTGCTGTGTACAGGTCTTTTTGTGTTTGGGTGAGTGGCCTCCTGGGGGGGGGGGGGGGTGGTGCGGGGCATCAGCGGGGGTGGGGCCTGCTGGGCTTGGGGGGACGGGGCGCGGGGAGGGGGGCTCTGGCCCACACCCCGCTGCTCCTGAGGCTGCAGGTGCTTCCTGGGCTGCTGCTTCCTCGCCCTTGTGTATGGACAGCTTGATGGACGTGAAGCACACGTGCCCCGTGTGCCAGCAAGAGCTCTTCTGCTACCACCGCCTGTGAAGGTCCACCAAATAAACGTCCACCGAGTGACTTCTGCCTGCTCACGTCTGTCCTGCCGGGGTCCCTCCTGTCCCAGGGAGGGGGTGAAGGCGCCTGCCCTCTGTCCTCCTGGCACAGCTAGGGGGCTGGGTCAGCATTGGACAAATGAATGCATCGTGGGGAGCGGGCCTCCCCACACCAGGTTCTCAGGCTCCCTGCCTGCCGTTCAGACTCCTCAGAGACCTCCCTCTCCTGGCCCCTTCCCCTCAGCTCAAGCTTCAGCATCTGAAAACATCTCTGTACCTCCAGCTGGAGGCAGGGTGGGGGGAACACCTCACTCCCCATTATCCACAGCCTCGCACATCCACGAGAATTTGGCCAACGCTTGGGACATTAAAAGGCCCCAAGCTGACGAGGACCAGGATCCCCCCTGAGTTAACATGGGGTCTGCTGGGGATGAGGTGGGGGGGAGGGGAAACCCTGGGCGGGGGGGAGGAAACGAAGAGAATTTTTTTGTTTGTTTTTCAAGATTTTTAAGTAATCTCTACAGGCGCCCCCTAAGGGATTTTTATTTTGCAAGACAAGATGAATGCTATTCACCCACCTTTTCAATTAAAGTGAATTTCCTACAGAAGGGGGGGAAGAATGCAGGAGAATTAGGAGACAGAAAAGAAAGAGAACCAGGTGCCTGGCTGGCTCAGTCAGAACTGAGACTCCTGATCTCAGGGTCGTGACTTCAAGCCCCATGTTGGGCATAGAGATTACTTAAATAAATAGGCACTAAATTCGCTGTGATGCTCACCCTACCCTGGGAGGGCAGTGTCCCCCCCCCCCCATAGATGTGGAAGCCCAGGCAGGAGGGTCCCCCTGCTCCAGGAACTGGAGGCAGCAGGGCCCGGCTCCCTGAAAAGGTATGGAGGGGTGTGTGTGTGTGTGTGTAGAGCAGTTTACAAGTCAGCAGGCAGAGAAGTTCCCGGAAGCCTCACAAGGTCAGGGGAGAGCCCTCTGCATGTAGCCGGCTGGGACAGATTTCTCTGGATCTGAATGTCAGCCCCCTGAAGATGCGAGGGGAAGGTGGCTTTCCGCCCACACCCCAGATGCTCTGGAGAACCAGGGAGAGCACCAACCTCCGACTCAGTGCTAGCTACGGGGCCAGGAGCCTCCATTTCAACACCTAAATGGACCCATCTTAGCAAGGTGTTGAGGGTTAGAAGCCAAAGCATCTGGGGCGCCTGGGTGGCTCAGTCGGTTACGCATCCAACTTCGGCTCAGGTCATGATCTCACAGTCCGTGAGTTCGAGCCCTGCGTCGGACTCTGTGCTGACAGTTCAGAACCTGGAGCCTGCTTCGGATTCTGGGTCTCCCTCTCTCTCTGACCGTCCCCTGCTCGTGCTCTCTTTCTCAAAAATAATAAACATTAAAAAAAAAAAAAAAAAAAAGCTGAAGCATCGGACCCAATAGACCCCCTGGACCCAAGAGCCAGTCTATTATCTGTGATACAGCAAGCCGGGACAGAGGTGCCAGGTGAACCCGGGGAGACAGGCCCAGGTAGACAACACAGGTGGCCACCCACCTGGGTCCACACCTGAAGGAGACTGTGCCAGCTCAAACACGGCAGGACATGATCCCTGAGAGGCCAGGGCAGGCCTCCCGGCTGCCAGTACCCAGGGGACGTCTTCACCGGGACCGAGCCAATCTCCGGTTCTGGGGAGGTCTGCACCGGCGCGGAGGCACCCAAGCCACATGGGGATGGTCACCGGTGCGCCTGGCTCTGCTGAGGAAGCCAAGACCCGTCTTGAGCCAGAACCAGATGCATCTGGTGAACTCGCCTCGAGGCCCTTGTTCCGATTCCACGGATTCCACGATCACCGGGGCACTTGCTGGTTTTGACTGTGATTCCCAGATGGGTCCCGACGGGAGCATCAGTCCCAGAACAGGCACCTCTCGTGGCAAACACACTGCTCGCGGTGCGTCAGAGGGTGCCGGTGTTCGGGCCTCCTCCGTCAGCATGGTCAGCCCCCACAGTACTTTTCTTTAAAGGTGGTGGGTCCCCGGGATGCCCTCGAGGTCCCACACGGCTCTGGCCACCTCCCGACTGTGACATCACAGACCAGCCTCTGGTCCCTTCTGACTCAGACTGCCTGCCCACCGTAAGGAAATGTCGTTCAGGGACTTGACTGGCAGACTCACGATGAAAATCCAGACTTTCCGACTTCTTTTAAAACCTATGAGGGACCCCTGGGTGGCTCAGTCGATTGGGCATCCAACTCGGTGCAGGTCATGATCTTGTGGTCTGTGAGTTCGAGCCCCGCGTCGGGCTCTGTGCTGACGGCTCAGAGCCTGGAGCCTGCTTGGGATTCTGTGTCTTCCCTCTCTGCCCCTCCCCCGCTCACGCTCAGGTCTCTCTCAGTCTCAAAAATGAATCAATGTTAAAAAAAAAATAGTAAAAAAATAAAAACCAAACCTATGATGGTTCAGCCGCACGGCACCCTCCAGCAACTGTTGGGCTAAGTGCTGTGTGACTGCGCCTCACCTCTCCCCACTGGCCCCGTGTTCCCAGGGCCTCCACACTCGCCGCCTTAACGGGAGCCCCCCCAGCCACACTCCTGTTCCGAGATCTCGCTGAAGGTCAGGCTGGGGTGTGGGGCCCGGAGGCCTCACTCTCCCAGGGCACACCTTTCCCGGAGGGCCACCTGGGCGGCATGGCTGGAAGGGCCCAGGGCTCAGAGGGAGGCCCCAGCCTGGTATCCCACAGCCCCGCTCCTTCCACCCAGGACGGCCAGCTGGGAGGGCCTGGAAAGCAGGACGCTGAGGCCGGCAGAGTCTGGGTCTTGAGGCCCGCTCTCCAGCAGGCAAGCCCAGAGCCCAGCCAGGTGGCACAAACTGCCCAAGTCCCCTGGCTACTCCGGGCGGCCCAGAGGCGGCAGGGCACAGTCAACGGTGAGGGTCGTTACGAGAGCGCCTGAGTTTTCTTAGCTTCCTTCGCCCCCAATCAAGGCTAAAGCCCAGAGACGGGACGGGGACTCCCCCCCACCCCCCGCCTTATCCCAGGACCAGGCCGCAGGGCGTGGGGCTTCTTGGCCTTAGTCGGGAGGGAGCCTGGAGCACTTGGGGGGGGCCGCGGGCACCCAGGCGAAGTCGTGCTGTGCACGCAGGGGCAAGGAGGGCCAGGGGCGGTGGTGGTATGGAGAGGCCGCAGGCTGAAACCGGCCGCAGACGTGGCTCAAACGCGTCTGTGCCGCCTGCCTGACGCAAGGCGGACTTTGCAAAGCGAGCCTGAAGGGACAGGCTCTTCGGTGCCGGCAAAGCGGGCAGATGGGCACCGTGGGGGCTGGGGGGTGGCTTTCCCTCCCAACATCCGATCACGTCTGTGAACATGAACCGACTGCGGCCAGATCGCGGCGTCAGCACCCACAGGCCCACTCCTGGATCCACCCATACTTCGGCGGGTCAGACGCGTGGGGGCCCTCCCTGCGTCTTGCCCGGACCGCTCTTAAAACCCCGGAGGGCCTGGCTTCAAAGCCTCACTCAAAGATAAAGGCGGGAAGCACAGGTCCGCACAGGCTCTGCTTCCCCCGGGGACAAGGCAAAGGCCTCAGGAAGCTTGGTCTTTGACTTTGCTCCCATCCGGTAAATGGATCCAGCAAGAAAAGGCCAGGAAAACCTGCCACGGTTTTCTACGTTAAGTCCAGGCTCCGCGTGAGCCAGTCACCGGAACGACCCCTAACGAACGGGAGGAAAATCGGCTTAGAGCGGCTTTCCCCAACAGGGTAGACGCTTGGCCGCACGCGGCTACTTAAGCGAAATTACGAATCCGCCCCCTCAGCTGCTTCGGCACATCTCGGGCGTCCGGCAGGGATGCGTGGCTGCGGCTACCCCTCTGGGCCACGCACAGAACCTTCTGCCGTGGCAGGAGGCGCTCTTGGACAGGGCCGGGCCAGGACAGAAACGGCAAGACGGAGGGAAAGGCGGGAGCCCCACACAGAAGTCCATGGGGCCCTTGGTTCCGGCATGCTGACGTCCGAAGTGCGTGTCCACGTTGGCAGTGTTTTCAGGCAAGGCCTGGCCCCGGGCTCGTGCTCACGCGGCCTCTCCCCCGACGGCTCCTTCCCCCCTGGACTCGTGCCCCGGATGCCGCCGCGCTCACCTGCTCAGGTATGGCACAAGGCTGCTACCAGGCTCCAGCAGCAGAGCTCAGTAACTGTCCCCGAGACCACCACGGGGCCCCCGGAGCCATCTTGTCCCACGCCGCGGCTTCTCGCTGGGGACTCCAGCACGACGCTCATGTGTCCCCATCTTAAACAAGCAGACCACGACCGTGTGCCTCCAAACAAGCACAGAGCCGTGCGGGGGGGGGGGGGGGGGGGAAGCCCCGGACGAGGATCCACCACGCAATCCCAGGGATCCGGTCTGGGGTCCCCCACCCTGACGGACTCACGCTGCGGGGGGCCTCACCCCAGCATGGTGTCACGCACCAAAGCACCAAAGCCACACCTCTCAGCGCCGTGCACACAAGACTCCGCTTTTTACCACTCTGGCAACACGCAGGAGACGTGCACCCCTTCCTGCTGGAAGTGGGGGTCCCCGAGGCAGCAGACTTGGAAGTTCTTAGAGAAAGGCGACTGGTCCCCCAGCGGGAAGGGCATGGCTGCCTACAAAGAACAGCCGTTACAGAAAATGGCACGCGCCGTACCCTGGGACGCTCGAATTTTTCTCTGCACACGGCTCCCGCGTACGGGTCACGTGCGACGGCCATGCCCCTCATTCCGGTCGCATTATGGTTCCCAAGGGACCCATCCTTCTGCGAACTCTGATGGCTGTCAATAGATGGGAACGGCCTCGGGGCTTAGAGTGAGCTGTTTGAAGGGCTGGGTTCCACCCCGTGCCCCCAAATCAGTTTCAGGAGCTCAGACGCCGAACCCTGTAGCTCGGAGGGAACGGAGCGGCAAAAGCGTAGCGTATGTCCACATCACCAGTCACTTGGTAACTGAGGGGAGAACACCGATCCAGCTATCCTACTAGAGCCCACCCACGGCCAAACCTCAAACAAGAGACCAACTCTTTCATGCTCAGAGTCAAACACACGGTGAAAAAGCCTCGCCGGCCTGCCCAGATTCCACTCTCTTAGGGCGAGGAGGGGGCAGGTCCCGGGGGGCGGAGACGCGCACGGGGCCACGGACACCTGCAGACAAAGTCGTGCCGGGCTGGCTCCGGCATGCTTCTGGTCCTCAGATGTGGGCAACGGTTTCCTCCCGGGAAACCTTCCACTGCTCGAGCTTGCCCATGACCTGGAAGAGGCGAAATCCAACCCCCGGATGACCAGGACTATCCACGAGCAACCCTGACAGCAGGGGGAACACAGACCTCCAGGGGGAGCAGAAGTCTCCCCTCGACCTGCACGTCACTCACTGATTTCCAGTTTTTATAGAAAATTTTATTCAACATACAACATTTTCCAGCAAAAAGGCAATATACAGGAAGAGTTGGTATACACTGATGCTGCAGAAAGAAAGGAAAATCCTGGGGAAGGATGAAAAATTAAGTGTGATCTGCTGATTCTATTTTACTGCACTCGAAACTAGACACGCAGCCGGCATTAGCTCCAAAATAAGAGGAAACGAGGCTGGGACTGAAAACTACACACAATGAATATCGACATCGGTGAAGAGTCACTTGATGCACCCAACAAAAAGTCACCTCCTCCCAGCGGTGAATTATACATGTTCACTCATTAAATATACAATTTCATTTCTCTATTTTTTTTCTTTTTTTTGCTTTTATTTTTCTTTTGGTTTTTTTTTTTCGTTTTTTTGTTTTTTTTTGTTTTTTGTTTTTTACAAAGTCAACAGCGTACTGACCACTAGTGAGCATGCCCTCTTTGCTAAAAGGCTCTCCCTTTCTTGTTCCGTCTGTTCCGTTCCGAGGAAACTCCACTGAGAATTCTTTCACCTGCTGGTATGAACTGCTGAGACGGTGGAGTCAGCCTGCCCCCAGGCAGCACGCCTGACACCTCAATTGTATCAAACAGTGTTTTCACGCGAACCAAAGGGGCCCGGGCCGTCCGCCAGGACCGTGCTCACACTCGGGGGCGTCCACGCTGCACACGGGCTGAAGGACGGTAGCGGCTGACGGACTGAGACGCGTTTACCGAGAGACCCGGGCAGCGGGGGGCGGGGGCGGGGGACCGAGGAAGGGGGACAGTACACGCAGTGAAGGAAAGAGCTCTATTTATTAGGTTGTGAGTTTCTCGGTTTTGCCTTTACAGATGCACACAAAAGGTTGGAAAGTAGAACTGAGGGGAAAACGTCGGACGAGCCTCAACGTAAGACCAGCTGCGGGGCTGGCGCCCGCGACCCCAGGAAGGCAGCCGGGCAGGCCTCTGCCGACTGGACACAGCCCAGAGGCCTCGAGCCGGAGCCGCGTGACCCTCACCTCTTCTCCCCCGTTACGCTGACGGTTGCCTTGCGCTGTGGCTACCATAAAATAACTCTCATCGGCATCCAAGCTTTATAAAAACACCTTCATTTTGCTCAAAAAGGGCAGTCAATAGATACAGAGAAGCCAAACGGAACAGCCTCAACAAAATAAAATTAACATCAGCAGCAAATCCTCTTGCTGAAGACTTCAGATGGTGCACGTGTACCAAAGTTCTAGGCTGTTAAAAAGGGGCACACACCCACGCACGGCCCCTCGCCTCGCACGCACTGGGTGAGGAAGTCAGTTATGGATTTTAATGGCCTTTTCCAGGTAGGTGTAGCGACTCCTCTTTGGGGCTTTGTTGAAGTGGTCAAGCCCTAGCCAAGGCCGAGGGTGAGACATGTTACCTGGCGGAGAGAGAGAGAGACACAGGGCTGAGGGCTGAGGCTAGAGGGCGAGGAAGCGGGCCGAACCCAGCGCAATGCCCCCCTCCCCCCCCACTTCCCAGCACACGCTGGAGAGCCACCGACATGCCAACCCTGAACGTGTCTCAGAGGAACCCATGGGCCACGCGCTGTGCCTCCCTGCCTCGCAGAAGGAACTGGGACCCAGGGCCGCCCGCGTCTCTGACCACGGGAGGGCTCTTACCAGGCTGGGGCTCAAAGTCTTTCAGGTTCACTTCATACTCATCCTCGTTGATGTACTGGTGTCGGCCCATCATCACAATGGCGAATTTGAACTGCAAGACAGAAGGGCCGCTCCTCCGTGAGCCCTGGGGGCCAGCAAACCCCCCCTCCGGCCAAAGTCCGGCCACCGCGGGAGCCAGGACTTCGGCGTGCGGCCCGGGAGTCCTGCCTACCTTTTCAAACTCCTTTTCCTGGATGTCCAGCAGACTCTGAATCCGCTTCATGACTTCTCTGAAATGCTCGCCCTACGAAGGGTAAAGGACACGTGTGCGCACTCCCCCGCGGCGGGAGCCCCGGCGTGGCGCCGCGGGATCTCATGTCTGGCGGCGGCCCTCAGCCTACCTCCCCGGCCTCACCTGGTGGATCCTCAGCAGAAACGGAATCCCGAACGTCCCGAACACCTCCTTGTGGAAGTGCGCCACGGTGACGAGCATCTCGCTCTCCTTGTCTATGTCCACCTGGTCCAGAGGGATTTCCTGGGACGCGGGGTGGGGGCGCACACTGAGCCGGGCGGTGCAGTCCACGCGGACACACTGCGTCTGCCCGCCTCACTGCCCATCAAGGAAGCGGGGTCCCACGCCCGCCCAGCGCTGTGTCTGGGTCTCATCAGAACCAGGGGAGCTCAGAGCTGGAAGGGGTCTCTGCGTCGGCAGGAAACTCTGAGGTTCCAGCGACCAACGTGCGTGCGACTCTGGTCACTGTGGACACTTCAGCTGCTCCACACTCGGCAGGGAGCCAGAGCTTCTGAGCAGACCTGCCTGGGGGCCCACATCGAGAATTCCCATCTGGGGACAATTCCCCTAGGATCCCCTGTGGACGGGCACGTAGAGGCCAGCCCCCGAGGGGAGGGCAGGCGGGGGGGAGGGTGGAGCTGCACGTGAAGGGACAGCGTCTCAGCAGAGTGGGCCACCAGGCAAGTGTGACGGGCAGGGAGGGCCGCTCAACGCGCCAACGGATTTCCGGAAGCCGAGCTGTACACACTGCCCACGACTACCGTGAAAAAGCACATTCTGTGTACTTTCTTACAACGCAACGTTAACTTCTCAGCAGCCGGAAGAACAAAATCAACTGCAGGGCTCACTTCTTCCAGCGCGCAGACAAAACTGAAGCAGCATCCACCGCCAGCGGCCGTCCCACCGCCCCACGACCCCGCCCCGTGCCCACGAGGGCCCATTACCTCTATTCGAAACGTTCTACTCGTTGCCGGAGATAAGCATTCTAACAGCTCATCTTCTTGGTGCACACCGATAATCTTGTAGCTTACGATTTCCCCCCCCCCCCCCCCCGGGGGGGGGGGGGGGGGGGGGGCGCAAGGAGTGAGCCACACCAATCCACGGGAGAAAAGGGGCTGATGAGTTCTCCTAGAAATTCTTTATTACGAAGCTATCAACATTTGCTTATGGTTTTCTTTGTTAGAGACTGGGAATGTCCAAAGCAGGCGTCCTCAAGGAACACAGCACAAAATACTAGTCAGTGGTCCCCCTGGAGTGTGTGGTTCAAGAAAAGGCCAAGGGGGATGCTCCGGTTGGAGGGGATGCAGCTGCATTTGGGCATGGAGAGGGAGACCAAATCTCCCCAAACCGGGCACATCTTTCCCGCAATGGTTCCAAATGGGGCCAGACTTGCGCTCTTTCTCCCTCTAGCTCGTTAGAGAATAAAGATCTCATTCTTTTATTAACATCACTGAGCAAACATTCCAGGAACCAAGTAGCCCCAAGGGCTGTTATGTCCTGTGAGCGCCTGTCTGGCCCCATGGTAAGAACGGTCAACTCTCTGACATGAACAGTGCTCATCAATCGGGGGCCTCTGACTTCAGCCTGAACACCAGCTACGTGGCTCAGAAGCGCCCTGATTCCTCACGCACAACCAACAGCAGTTTTGGCTGATCCTTTATTTGCATCCTTTCCTTACCGAGTGGCTTTTCCACCTGAATCTTAAGTTCTTCCTACAGCTTAGTAAAAATCAGGAGACAGGGAAAGAAGAAAATATGGCTCAGTGGTTAAACATCTGACTTCGGCTCAGATCATGATCTCACGGTTTAGGAGTTCGAGTCCCACATCGGGTGAGCACAAGCCCCATGTGGGCCCCACTTCTTTCTCTCTCTCTGCCCCTCACTCACTCGTGCTCTCTCTTGCTCTCCAAAGAAAAAGGCAGGGTGGGGGGGAGGAGGGGGGTCCCATTAT